TCTCTCACATTATTAGAATAGGAGTCAGGATGTTTGCTTTTATTCTCCTGATAAGATGCTCTGTGTATAATTTGTTCTGACTCATTAACTCAGAAAAGATCAAGTACTCACGAAGGGCACATTGGCAAATCAGTTCGGCCCTCATAATAGGATTGTCTGGCACTGATTACACTCATCATTACTGTTATGTTTTCCACAGTTGAATCAAGTGCCCACTCCCTAGACCCCAGGGTGGGCAGTGATGTTACTCTCAGCTGTACCATCTCCAAACTCTCAGATACAGTCTGTCTCCAATGGAAACAGAGAGATTCATCTCAGCAGAACAGCAGGAAAACCGATCAGATCCGATTCAATAACACAGTCTACCTGATGGTCAAACACGTTACTGTGGAGGATGAGAGGTTGTACACGTGTGAAGTACAGGAAAATGGATCGGTTATTCGCACAGTGAGACAAGATTTTTATGTGTCCCAGGGTAAGTGCAATTTCCTCATCATGAATATTAAAGCATTACTGATATAAATCTGTTTCATTTAAGGTGAACCTGTGCATGTTAATTATCATTCATGTTGTCAGTCAGAATGAGGGCTCCCACTGCACATTTCAACATTGAACTAAATCTGACGTCTCTCCTCTCATTGACACTTTTCATTGAGTTCTGCTGCTGTTCGAAATGATTCCAGTTGCTGCAATCTCTGGGCCTCAAATAAACATTGACTTAGGAGCAAGACTAAGGGAAAAATTAAGTTCAGGGAATCAATTTCCATGAATGGGGGAGAGAGAAGCATTGAAACACAGAATACAAGAGGGGGAGTAGGCCATTCTGTCCTTCCAGCATACTCAGCTATTCAATGACATCATGGCTGATTATCCAACTCCGTACCATGTTCTCACTTTCTCCCCCTGCCCTTTGATCCATTTATCGCTAACGAAAATATCTAACTCCTTAAAAACATTCAATGTTTAAACATCAAACATTTTCTGTGGCAGAGAATTCCACAGGCTTACCACTCTCTGGTTAAAAACATTTCTCCTCATCGCAGACTTAAATGATCTGCCCTGTATCCTTATGCTGTGACCCTTGGTTTTTGATTCCACTGTCTTCAGGAACATCCTTGCTGTGTTTCCCCTGTCTCATCCTGTTAGAAGTTCATAGGTTCCAAGATCTCCACCCCTCATTTTCCTAAACTCCAGCGAATATAGCCTTAACCAATCCAATCTCTGTTCAATCGTTTGTCTGATCATCACAGGAATCCATCTGGTTAACCTTCTTTGCACTCCGTCGATAGCCAGAATGTCGTCCTCAGGCGAGAAGAAGAAAACTGCACACAATACTCCAGGTGTCATCTCGGCAAGGCTCTGAGAGTAGCTGCAAGACCTGCTCCTGTACTTCCATTCCTTGTTTGTAAGACTGTTCATAACTTCCCTTGTTGGCCATGGTCAGGGCACATTTCCATTTTAATTTTTGTGCCATACACGAATGAATAATTGTTGCGGTTCCTCTGTGCACTCCTTAAATGTTTGCCATTGTCTATCCACTTTCATCTCTTTTAAGTAATGTTGGCCAATATATCATGGCCAACTCGTACTTCATGCCATTCCAGTTTCCTTATTTAGATTCAAGATTCTAATTTTGGAATCAATTACATCATTCTGCATCTCAGTGAAAAATTCTGTCATATTATGGTCACTCTTCCTCAAGTGGCCTCACACAGCTTGATTCCTTGTTATTCATTTCTCATAACATAATACCTAATCTAGGATGGCTTGTTCTCTCATTGATTCCTCAATGTATTCATCTAGGAGACCATCTTGTTCACAGTCTAGAAATTTCTCCTCAATAGCGTTGTTAATGCCCAAACTATGTGCAGATTAAAGTCACCCATAAAGTCACCAGAGTCTTTATTGTTTGCATCTTTAATTGCCTGTTGTTACGAAGTTGGGTCTAGTATTCATGAATTGGAAGGCAGCAAGTTAGAAATTATTGATAAAAATGATTGTGGAGAAAAGAGTACTGTGATCGCTATTAAAAAAACACAAAAGAACAGTGGATGCTGTAAATCAGGAACAAAAATAAAGTTGCTGGAAAAGCTCAGCAGGTCTGGCAGCATCTGTGAAGGAAAAAACAGAGTTAACGTTTCGGGTCCAGTGACACTTCCTCAGGAACTGTTCTGAGGAAGGGTCACTGGACCCGAAACATTAACTCTGTTTTTATCTTCACAGATTCTGCCAGAACTGCTGAGGTTTTCCGATAACTTTGTTCTTGTGTGACTATGATTTCTATAACGCCTACACAGAAAATAAGTTGGAATGTATTCCCGACTGTTATTATCTCAAGGATAGAATCCTAAGACGAAGCCTCAGCAGTTTAGTGCGGAGGAGAAATGGGTGGAAATGCACCAGATTGCATTTTTGGTAGCATACAGACAGGATGTATTATGGGTAGCACACAAATTACCAGTAGGAGTTCATTGAGGAGTGAGGAAGACTCAGGCTGAAATACAAAAGCAGTTCTATTGGCCTGGATTGCATAAGGATGTGGTTGAATTTTGCTGCACCTGTCATACTTATCAAATGGCAGGAAAGCCACAGGCAGTAATAAAACCGTCACCCTTGATGTCAATTCCTGCATTTGAAGAATGTTTCATGCAGGTTATGATTGATTGTGTAGGTCCCTTTCCTAAAACCAAAAGTGGGAACCAGTATTTCCTAAACATAACGAATATGTCTATTAGATTTCTGGAGGCTTTTCCATTAAGGCAAAAAGGCAATCCTGCCACAACTCTGTTCAGAAGTCTTTGAAAAGTGGCTGGTGCATTCTTCATACCAAAGGGCATTACTTTAAATTGATACAGCCCATTCAGGGTTGCAAATGCAGAAACATCTTTCGCTCTCTCTGACAAAGGTATTTGTCAAGGCAAAAAGGGTTGTGGAAGAGTTGCTGGCTTTCTTTACACATTATAGCCTACCCAGAGAGATTCAGACAGACCAAGGGTCCAACTTTAGTGCCAAAGTATTTAAAGGGGTCATGGATAGTTTAGGCATCAAACACTTTAAATTGAGTGCGTACCATTTTGAATCCCAGGGAGAATTGGAAAGGTGGCATCAGATGTTAAAAACCATGCTGAGAGCTTATTGCCAGGATTACACAAATAATTGGGCTAAAGGTATCCTATTTACATTGTTTGCCATGAGAGATGCCCCAAAAGAATTGACTCAATTTACTCCATTTTTTTGATATTCAGACATGAAGTAAGAGGGCCTTTAAAACTACTTAAGGAAAAGTTGTTAGGTCTGAAGTCAGAGGTCTCAGAATTGGATTATGTATCTGAGGTGAGAAGAAGATTAAACAGAGTTGGCGAATTAGCTAGACAGCATCTGAAGGTAGCACAGTGTCTAATGAAGCAACAAGCAGATAAGAAATCTAAAATTTGGATGTTTGCCCATGGGGATAAAGTATTGGTTCTGTTACCAGTGGTAGGAGACCCCTTTGAAGCAAGTTATAGTGGTCCCTATCAGATTGAGAAGAAGTTGAGTCAGTGAATTATCTGTTAAAGATGCCAGATAGAAAGAGGCTTTATCGGGTATATATGTGAATATGTTGAAACCCTTACTAATGACATGGACAGAGAACTGGAGAAACAGGTGTTAGTTACTGCCCCTGAGAGTGAGGAACCTAAATCTGAATCATTTGATTTTGATGTGCCTAAACTTAAGTTAAAAACTGAGCAAGTCCTGAGAGAATGCAATGGAATAGTGAGCAATCCGTCTCAGGAGCAGAGGACTGAATTGAATGGTTTGATGCAGAAATGTGAAGACATCTGTGGAAATAGAATGAGGAGGACTAGTACGTTAGTGCATGAAGTTGAAGTAGGGAGTGCTGTTCTGATAAAACAACACGCCTACAGACTTCATCATCTTAAAGCCGCACAGGTACAGAAGGAAGTGGAAGCGATGCTGCAAGAAGACATCATCAATCTGAATCAAAGTGAGTGCAGTTCACAGATCGCGCTGGTTCTGAAGCCTGATGTTACTCGATGATTCAGCGTAGATTATTGGAAGGTCAATGCTGTAACTAAATCAGACTCAAACCTAATTGCAAGGCTGGAGGACTGCGTGGAAAAATTTGGACAAGTCACTTATATCACCAAGTTGGACCTACCCCGTGGTTACTGGACAAATTCCTTTGTCAGAGAGAGCGAAAGAAGTTTCTGCATTTGTAACCCCGAATGGAGTGTATCAATTTAAAGTAATGCCCCTTGGTATGAAGAATGCACCAGCCACGTTTTAAAGACTTATGAACACAGTTGTGGCAGGATTGACTAATTGTGCTGTCAGTATAGACAGTATCACTATCTTTAGCCATTCATGGAAAGATCACATGGTGCATTTGACAGAACTTTTTGAAAGACAACGGGAGGCAAAGCCAGTTATAACTTAGCAAAAACTGAATTCACGAAGGTAGAAGTGACATTTTTGGGACATTACATCAGACATGGAAGGATGACCCCAAGGAACGCAAAGATGCAGGCCATCAAGGAATTTCTAAGGCCATCCTTGAAGAAAGAAGTGCTTCGATTTTTGGAACTGAAGGGATTCTACTGGGAGTTTGTGCCAAACTTTAATAGTGCGGTGGCACTGCTGACATATTTGATAAAGAAGAAAACAAAATTGCAGTGGACAGAACAATGCCAGGAGGCTTTTAAGAATTTAAAAGCCGTATTAAACACCGCACCAGTTTTAGCGACACCGAATTTCTCAAAACCCTTGAAAGTCACTATCGACACCAATGATATCGAGATTGGATCTGTGTCGATGTAGGAGGATGACGGTGGAATTGAAAGGCCAATTGGTTACTTCTCAAAGGAACTCAATATTCATCAGAGAAAATACTGCACCATTGAAAAATAATTGTTGAGTTTGATACTGTCTTTCAACGTTTTAATGTGTTTATTACCAACAATATTTTGGAGACGGTTGCCTAGACAGACCACAAGACCTTTCTCTTTCTGGAAAGATTTAAGAACAAAAACATGAGACTATTCTGTTGGAGTCTTATGCCACAGACTTAAAATTTACAAATTGTATGTGTGCAAGTCATAAAAATGTTTTTGCAGATGCTTTATCGCGTGTTTAAAAGAAAATTTGTAGATAAGATAGAACTGTTACAGTCCAATCTTATATATATTTAGAATCAGTTTGAAAGGTTTACAGTACTAAACTATGTATATCGTGGTAATAGTGTAAAGATTTAGAAAAAAAATGAAGCCTTCTTTTCATATTGAGGGTTCATTTTTCCTTCAGGATGAGACGTTATGAAGTTGTGTCGAGTATTCATGAATTGGATGGCAGGAAGTTAGAATTTGTTGGTAAAATATTTAGATTAAACCCTCCCCAGTTGTACTATCAAATACTCCTCCTCGGACACCAGTGCTGGTTCTGAACGGGTAAAAACTGTCCAGTTTCAAACTGGTCCCAACATCCTAGGAATCTGAAAACATCCCCATTACACCATCTCTCCAGTCACGCATTCATCTGCTACATCCTGCTACTTCTCCTCTGACTAGCATGGGGCTGATGAAGACTCACTGGACTCGAAATGTCAAATCTGCTTTCCTCCTTCTGATGTTGCCAGACCTGCTGAGTTTAGCCAGAGATTTCTGTTTTTGTTTCAGATCTCCAGCATCCACAGAACTTCGTTTTATTGTTGAGATGCCACCACTTTGCCTGTTGATATTTCCTCTGAGAGGTCTTTCCCCGCAACACTATTCAAAGTGGAACTTTTTTTGCAGGGGAATGTTCGCAGAGCACTCCTGCATTGCCTGCCTCATTTGCTTTCTCTGTTTGTGGTCATCCATTCCCTCCCTGTCTGTGGAGTTTTAGCCTACAGTGGGACCATCTCTCTGTATGTGTTATTGATGATACCCTCAGCCTCTCTGATATTCCACATAGTCCCCACTCAGCTCCAAAACTCTGGTTTCCAGGAATTGTTGCTGCAGACACTTCCTGCGCACGTTCTGGTTCCATGCACGGAGCTGTGTCCGAGTACCCACCTGAGCAGGAGAAGCATAGTACAGCCTTGAGCTCTCCTTCCATGACTTACCCCTTTAAATTAAACCTTCCATGCTGTATGACTCAATGATTATGACTTTGACTCTTTAGATTCCCCTTAAAATCAGCCAACATTTATTACTCTACAGCCGTTCTTTCTGTACCTCTGCACGATAATACTTATCAACTCTAAACCCATTTTAAATATCTCCAAATTATATCTAATAAAACAGAAATACTCAGTCAATCTTACTCACCCTACCAGCTGCTTCGTCTTGCCACATGTCACTTTTTGACACTCTTCCCAGACTGTTTCACTGTGCTGCTAACTGTGGGTCACTCTTCCCAGCTTCATCTCACTTGGGATTATGGGAGTGTGGTATTTCCCTCAGAACTAACTGTCAACTGCAAGTACTCCCAAAAATCTATACCTTCAATCCCGAACTCCAAGAACCCAACTTGCATCAAACAACTACCGTATTTACTCGAGTAAAAGTTGGTATCATGTAAAAATCGACTCCCTATTTTTGGCAAAAAATCTGGAATTTTCCATATATCTCATGTAAAAGTCATCCCTAGTTCTTCACAGAAAACAGATCAATGTTTGTGAGTCAAGATATTATCCTGTAAATAAATATTGAGATGAGGAAATGAATTTTTTGTGCTATTATGTATTTTGATGTACAATTCACACCAATATTAGACTATGAATTTCTTAAATCCAGTATCAAACGAGCACCACAATTAGTGTAATACAATGTTTATCACACCATCGTTTCCTATATAAGATAGGCCTGTATGCATTTACTTCACTGTCATTACCGTATCCCTGATTGACTTGGACGTACTGCTGTTGATGATTTCTCATGGCTACAATGATTGTGAGACTGTATGATGGTCAAATGTCTGATAACTTCTCTATCAGAAATAGAAACTTAAAATGTTGGTTTGACAAACTAAAACTACCATCGACAAGAGAAAACAGAGGTAAATGGAAGAATTTAGCATGAAAATTTAAGCCGCATCGTGTCGACCTCCCTTTGTGTGCAGCTCAGCTGAGCTCAGTTCTTCTCTAGTACTTGTGGAATTATTGTAATTCCCTGTGTTTTTGTTTTCTTCATTCATTCAGAGATCAGTTGGGCTACTGTTAATGATATGGTAATTTGGACTGTGGCAAGAATTTCAGCCCCTCAAAAGTACTACATCCGTTATAGTCGTCCCGATAAATTTAACCTTAAAAATAGTCGAAAAAGTTTGACTTTTACACAAATATAAATGGTATATACATGTCTCACCGTTTCATCATAATGTATTTCTGTCTTTCATCAAAACACATTTTCTGTTTATACTTTATATTACGGACTTATTTGGCCAACATCAGATATTCTGCTTTCGGAACTATTTCACTTGTTCTCACAATTTCAGGGTCAATCATTGAAAGGGAATAGGAAACAGAAACATTGCCTGTTTCTTTTCATTTGCTCTGTGCTCCTGCAACTGTCTGTCTACAGCTAGTCAAATGGTGCCCTATTCAGACATCTCTATTTATTCTCCACTTCACACAAATATAGGCCAAGATGAAGTTGCTACAGTCCTACCCACTCATAACAAAGAGATGACTGACAACTGTTTAGCCTCAGGGTCACCATGCCTTGGGTGTGGGATTGGGTTGAGAAGATGGAGCCTTCATGGTAACCCCAGCTAATGCAGGAACTGAACCTGCTTTGTTGCATCCCTGTGTGTTGTAAATCAACTGCTCAGCCAGCTGAACTAACCAGCACCCCCATCATAAGTGCTTACTCTCTACTCCAAATGCTGCTTTGAGCATCCTCTTCTTTGCCCAAACACCCACTCTCAGCCTCTGGCATATCCCTCTGTCCACCCTCCGTGTTCAATGTAGCCATTATTCATCTCATGGTCATCATGATTTTCTTAATTCCAGATTTTTATTTGAAATCAAATTTCACTGTCTGCCAGGGTGGGATTTGAACTTGGATCATTATTTGGGTTTCTGGATTGATACTCTAGCGATATTACCACTCAGCCATCATCTCCCCACATTCTTCCCTCATAATCCAGATCTCTTGTCACCTCTTCTCCCTCAGTCATTAAGCCAGAATGACAAAATGTGCACTCATTGTGATAATTGTCTTACAAGAATGGAATAGGTAATCGATTGTATTCGCCTCCATTGCTGCAATGAGTACTTCGTACCTGTGACAGCATGAACTGGCAATCAGGACGCACAGTATTTTGAAGCAATGTGTACATGCAATCTGGTTGGAATGTGATGGATTGAATCCTGTTGTTCCGCTGACAATGTAACTATTGAGAACAGCTCAACATTGCTGTACCCAGCACTGTCCTCCTGACTACTGGGGACCCCTTCCATTGACTGAAAAATGTATACTGTAATTCTGTCCCTCCAAAACAAAATGTCCTCCCATTAGAATGGAGCTCTTTTGAACTTGATCGAGAATTGTACAGTTCATTTGAACAACACAAGGTGAGATTCAGATAGTTTTTGGGCTGGTTGAGTACAACCTGCTTCCACTCACCTGATTTGTTTGATTTGGTTCCTTTCCCATGTTTTGGCCCCTGTGACCCTTCATTCTTCTTCCCTTTACTGTGAACCCATCATTGTTACAGATGATGATCACAAACTGTACTGATCCACTCTCAGTAAAAGTGCCACAGTCCTCTGCTGAGCCTTAGCCTTCCCCTGATCGAGGCAAACTACACCCTGGCCCCCAAAGCCCACATGGTTCCAACCCACAACTTGCAACTCCCAACCTACAATATGCAACTACCCCCTCTCCCAATGACCATTTCGTCCCCACCATCAGGCAACCCCAGGCATGAGCTGGCTTCAATAAGGACAGTGCCCCGGACATAACCTTGCTGATCCTGGACTGACTGTAGAGCATAAACCTCTGGACGGCATGGTGTGCAGTCCTTTATCAAAGCTCAAAATTATCAGGGGCATTGATCTGATACACTCCTGAAAGTGCTCAAATCACCCAGGAGAGAGCACCCTTGGAGATTTTTCATCAATCAGAGCAAAGTCCCGACCCCGTTAATAGAAAGGAGGGAAATGTTATAGATCTGCTCCTCCAATCATACATGAGTTCTCGCCTTGCTTACTGTTGGCCCTCTAGAGAAGCTAGCAGCAGCCAATGTGAGTGAGAAACTGGCTGTGATTGGAGGAGTAGTGAGTAGTGAGGACATTGAGTGCAAGCAGTGAGGAAGATGCTAACTAAAGGAGCCTTTTCTGAGAAGTCCAACAGCTGACAGCTAATCTGGGGTTGGAGGATGGGGGGATAAGAGCTTGAGTGTGTGGAGGTTGGGGTTTCCCAAGATCTGACTTGAGGCAGGAGAGGGACTTAGACTTTCGTTGAGGCCGGAGGAAGCTTTTGCCAGATTCTGGAATTCTATTTGCTAGATCTGGGATGAGGGAAACTGTCAGAGGAAGGCAAAAATTGAACACATCAGTCAGAGGACAGGATTGGGTATGTGGACTGAGGTAAGCAGGTTTGGGATATCAGGTAAAGGAGAACAGGATCAGATGGAGGAGTGTAGGGATGTGAGTGTCAGGCAGTGGAGGGCACGGTTAGGAGCATCAAGCGGTTGAGGGGAGGGTTAAGAGTGTAGGAAAAGGAGGGGAGGTTTATAGGAGGGACTCAGAGCTACAATGAAATGCAGATAAACTTTTGGATACCTGCAGGTGAGATGGTCCACCCGCCAACAGAGGAGCGAGAACTTCATCACTGAAGTTTGACTCAATGGCAAGAATCTGGTTATTTTGCCGACTGCTCTGACTAATTCCATCCAGCCCGATATTCCTCTCACTGTTTCTGAGACAGGAAAATTTCATTTCAATGTTCAGCAATCCCAAAATTGCAGTTTATTTGCAGCTACCATTAGCAGCGGGAATATATCTTGTCGCTCAGTGTCAGATATTGGGAACTTGATGTCTATGAACAAAGAACAAGGAATAGCACAGGAACAGACCCTTCAGCCAACCAAGACTACACAGACACAGGATGCCTTTCAAAGTTAAAAACCTTTTGCCACTATGCAGTTTGAATCCTTCCGTTCACTTCCTGTTCATATATCTGTCAAGATGCCTCTTCAATCTTGATATCATTCAAAGGGAAAATGTGAAAAGATTTCATGGTTTTCTACAAAGTCTGTCTTTTCTACACATTGGTCTCATCTAAGTTTGCAATGTTTAAATAGTTCATTGCTTTGAAAAAAAAATTGATGTACAATGTTTTGATGATCAGCATGCAAATATTTTAATTCCATAATAATTAATCATTATTTTGCCTTTTCCCTGTCCTTGCACAAGTATAAATTTCTAGCACGTGGTTCTCCGTTTCTCTTTTGCAGATTTATATGGAAAGAAATACACACTTTATCGCTCAGGCACAGATTACAGTGACCTCAAATTAGTTTGCCTATTTTATAATGGGTGTTATTATTATAATTTTGAAACCGCCAAATGGAGATGGAGGTCAGATTCTGCACATCAGGAGAAAATCCTGGCTTCTGCATCAACATATCAGGCCATCAATGTTGACAAGACTTACTTTGGGAATCGACTGGTCCCCACAAGTTCAACGTTTAACGGCATGAACTTCGATGTGAGGATTGTCCCTGTCCGGTTTGAAGATGCAGGAGTTTATAAATGTTCATGTGAATCATACAAATTATTGACCATCACATTAATCACAGTTAAAGGTAGGGCACAAAATGTTGATGCTGTTTTCAATTTCCAAGCGATTATTTAAAATCTAAACGATTTTCTTGTTTACACAGTCACAGCAGAACCCTCTGATGCAGAGACTGAGGGAGACTTCGTTACTCTGACCTGCTCTGTCTCTGATGTCACTGAATCAATCAGACTTGTTTGGATCAATAATGATGGTAAAATTGTTGAAGAAAAGGCATTGAATAGCAGGAATAGGGAAGAGAAATCATTAAGACTTATTATTCAGAAAGCTAACAGAGACAGAGGGAAATGGACGTGTGTTTTGTTTCGTCAAAACATGCCTCAGGTTTCAGTCCCATACTATTTGGAGCTCAGTGGTAAGTGACTCAGGGATTGCTCTTAATACATAGAATCTGAAGAAAATATTGTAACCACTTATTGCTCTTAATGGCAGCAGTAGCCCATCCTTTATATCTTGTGTTTGAGCCTCTACAATGTGCGGCTCGTCTTTCCCTGAGATAACGCCTTACTATCTAGAAGAGAAATGGTGTAATCAGTCATTGATCACATTAATGTGAATTTAAAAAGTGGGTGAACATTTGTCAGAGAATGGTAAATGTTCATACCTTACTTCTCATCAAGTTTGCAGTGAAAACTGATAATCTGCATGAGAAGGTAAAATTGTAAATGAAGGTAAAGTTTGAACCAGCTTACCTTTGCAAACCTTGAATGTTTAACCAACGATCTTCTGTTCAACTCATGGTATCACAAAACCAGGTGTAAGGAGGAGAGGATGTTGCAAAATAGACACAGAGACCACCCTGACTTTGGACAAAAAAGCCCTGGAATATTTTTAATAGTTATCAAGCATCATAATGGAGGCTGTGGAAGGGAGGTCTGAAGACTAGGCAAGTGCTTGAGGGGGAGAAGTTCCTGTGACTCAGCCTGATCCTGGAATGATCAGAATAGATTGTCCTTTGGCAGTGGGTCGAAATTTTCTAGAGTGTTCCCCTAACCAGATAGAGGGTGAGAAAGTCCAACTTGAGTTTTTCTCTGTCTTGCTCACGCAAATGAATGGAGACCTCTCAGAATATGTTATGGTTAGGGTTCCCTCTGTGTGTCCCTTGGCATCATCTGTGGGTCTCGTTGAGATATTCAAATTGCCACATTATTAATAAAAACACCAAATGTCCCACCCTGCTGTCCCTTTGAACTTCCTGTCCAACACATAATTTGGAGTTTATCGCACCAATTCTCATTCTGTCCCACTTACATGTCCACTGTTGATCCCATGGAGTCTCTCTGTGTCACAGCTTCCACCACCATGAAACACATCTCCCTCAAAAATATCCCTGCACTTGTGAAAATAAGCCTTGTCATCCTGAACTTCTTTGAAATGCTTGGATCAATGTCATGGTCTTCACAGAAACCTGGCTGAGGGTTGACAGTATCTTCCTTTCCATTTGGCTACAGTGTCCTTTCCAAATCCATTCTGATTTTTATGTTATCAAGTCATTTCAAGAGCACTTGAAGTGTCATAACATTGAAGGCTATGGACCAAGTGCTAGAAAGTGGGACTAGTGTTGATTTAGGTTTTTTTCTTGTTGGTGCAGATCTGATGGTCTGAAGAGCCTATTCTGCACTGTATTCTCATTTATGTCTGACTGCAAATGAGGCCATTTAGTCCATTGAATTACAGATTTCATCACCATTGACCTGTCTCCTTATTCCTTTGGTACATTTTCCACTGTTGCATATCCCACTTTGTTCCATCCTTCTCCTCTCTCACCTATCATCCTCGTTCTCTACAGCCCACTAATTGAATTGTTCCCTGTGAGATGTATTTACTGATTTCCTGCCTCAGCTTTGCACCAAATGTCTTCTTATCCTTGGGGATTTCAACTTCTGTCTGAACTCAGCATGTTCTGGGATCACTTTCACCCATTTTTCTCATTATTTCTTCCCCTTGTAAACTCACCAGTTCATACTTACCACAAGTCTCTTGATGTCATTTCATGTAGCATCACAAATCCATCAAATCAATCAGATAAGGCCAGATCTGATCGCCATCCACTGTCAATTTCTTTCTACATCGCATTCTTTCTCTGATATTACGAATACATGTGTCTCAGTGCTGCTTTAGTGTGCAGACGGTGAGTTGGGAGTTTGATGATTGTAGCAATTCCTGGAAGAAGGGAACTACAAATTAATTGAGGAAAGTATGCTCACTGAAAAAGAAATACGTCAGATCAAGTGTCACACCTGCAGCATATGTCCACTCAATTTATTTGAAACTGAAACAGTAGTGTTTATAGCTTGTGGAACCTCAGCGTGGTGTCAATGACACTGTAGACTGTTTCTTTAAACTTGCCTTCAATGTCTGGACTGGTCTTTCCACTCGACCATTGGACGATGGATGGTGTGGAGCTGTCCTTACGGGCTGAATGCCATTGGACTTGAGGAAATATTCGAATTCCGTCCTGGTAAAGGATGTCCCATTGTCTGTGACCAATACTCCCGGAGTCTATGTATCGTGAATGATACTGCAGCTTCTCAATTTTCATCCCTGAGTTTGCTGAACGAACCTTCTGCACATCCAACAAATTTGAATGGATGTCCACAATGACCAGGAACATTGAGCCCATGAAACAATTGCAAAGTCGACATGCAGTTGAGCCCAGGGTTTAACCAGCTATTCCCACAAATGTGAGTGTGCTGCTGGTGGAAATTTTTTTTCCTTATTGGCACTCTGGTCACTGCCTCACTCTGCAGCTATATTGACATCCAACTCTGGCCACGACACATAATGTCCTACCTACATCTTCATCTTGGAAATCCCTGGATGACCCTGGTGAAGTTTGGTCAGTATCTGATGGCAAACTGTACTGAGGATGGTCAACCTCACTCCCCGCAGTAATATTCTGTCCTCTACGGTGATCCGGTCTTGCCGGGTCCAAAAAGATTTCAATCCTGGTTGCAACAGCCCTTCTGTTTCTCCCATTACGACCAGCTATTTTAGCGCTGTGAGGACAGGATCTTTTTGTGTCCACAGTCGGATATTGTCCGCGGTGACTGGAAGGGTGTCCAGAAAGTTTGTGAACTGTTAGTGCCAGTGGGACGCAGCTCAAGACATCTACGATACTTATACAAACTGAGAATTAGGGCCCAACACTGAATTCTACAAGAAGCTATGGGCAGCTCCACCTTTTATTCCCTCAGTAGCCCTGGCAGTGGTTTGTGATCTGTTACTGTGACAAATCCCTGTCTGTAAAGGAACTGGTGAATTTCCGCACACCAAAGACAACCGCTTATCCTTCCTTCTCTATCTGGGAATAATTACGTTCGGCATCACCAAAATCTGGGATGTGTACGCGATTGGGTGCCCCTCTCCGTTGGACCACCGGTGAGCCAACACTACCCCAATACCGTACGGAGAGGCATCGCATGTCAACATCACCTCCTTCTTTGGATCGTAGTGGGCCAACAGCTTAGATGATGATAGCTGGTTTTTCACTTCCCTAAAGGCTGCTTCATGGATACACAACCAATTCTAAGGCTGACCCTTTTTCAATAGCAGGTGTAAAGGTGCCAAGGTTATGTACGAATTATGCATAATAATTCACTAACCCAAGAAAAGTCCTAAGCTCAGGTATGGACATGGGAGTCGGGGCTCCTTTGATCGCCCGCACTTTCTCTTCCAATGGGTGTAACTTGGTTTTGTCGACTCTGTAACCTGAGTAGGTCGCTCGGGTTCTTGGGAGACATATTTTTCCTATCTAAGGTGTACGCCCACCTGGGAGAAACGGTTAAGCATTATGTCCAAGTTCTCCAAGTGCTCTTTATTGGTCTTCCCTGTTATTAGAATGTCATCCAGATAAATAGCAATTTGGGGTAGCCCTTGTAAAATGTTCTCCATGGTCCGCTGGTAAAGAGCGCAGGCTGATGATACCCCATATGGCAGTCGTGTGTATTGATGTAAACCCTTATGGGTATTAATTGTGACGTATGTCTGGGACACCTCATCCAGTTGCAATTACATGTGGGTGTGGCTTATGTCCAGCTTCGTAAAGGAAAGCAGCCCTCACCAACTTTGCATACAAGCCCACTGTGCAAGGGATCGGGTATTGCTCCAGCTGCAAGAAGTGGTTTACCATTTGCTTTAAATCCCCCACAAAGGCGAACTGAGCTGTAAGGCCTCACAATCGATATGACCAGTGCTGCCCATTGTGCTAGCCATCAAGAGACACGACCAATTCTCACTTGTGTCACTACACGCGGTCAACGAGGGACACAAAGTCAACGGGGACGAAGCATTGATCATCGCACAAGCCAAACAGAGACATGCCAGGGAATTCCTGGAGGCTTGGTATTCCAACCGGAACTCCAACAACAGACACATTGAATTAGACCCTGTGTACAAACCACTGAGAAAGAAAACTTGAAATAATACCAATAACTGCAGCAAACCAAGGCATATAAATAACAAGCAGGACAGAACACTGACACTTCACCAGAGGCGCATTGACAATCTTACCTAGCCAGGAGACGAAATGTTTGCAACCAAACCCATCGCTTCAGTGAGCATGTTGACATCCTCATCCACAACGTGCGCTACTAATCTTCTCGAAATTTTAAATTACTCATTGTCTTTCATCTGCTCCAATTTCATTCACCCAGAAAATATATCACATTGTTTCCACATATTGGTCCCAGTCTTTAAGAGCAGGGTCAAATGAATCAAGCATCTCAAATCAAGGCATGATGCCAGCAATGCTTACCTAACTCCAAGATGACAGTTGCAAGTGAATGTTCTTCAGGCACATCCTGTTTTCTCCCATTGCCACCGAAATAACTGCACAGAGGCTAGTATCCCATCTCTAAGTCACCCTTAATTTACTCGTGCACAGTACACTGGTCATGGCCAGTCAGCTCGGAGTCAGGCCTCAGCTGAGGATATTCTGATCTCCTGGTTATATTGGTCAACCCATGGTTTCCTGACTGTCCCAGGTTAACAATCCCAATCAAGAACCTTGTAGTCAACTTGGCTCCAATTACTACACGTAATGACTTCTAAACTTGCAGAGTTACGGTCACCATCCACAAAATGCTCACTCACTGACACTTTGAACACTTGACTGGGTTTATTTCTTTGGATTAGATCTAGAACCACTCCATCTCTCATAAGTCATCTATGAAGTGGCACAAAAAAAAATCAGTTCAAGGGCACTTTGAGATGAACAACAAGTGCTGCCCTTTCCAGTGACATCAACATTGCACAAAACATCATTAAATAATCGTGAACACAAAGACCTTTGATCTTTGAGCTTCAAAGTCTATTAGTCAGGTGTGTTAATTCAGTATCATATCTGAATCATAATTAAGAACTTACTGAAAACAAATTGTCTACAGGATTCATAATTACACAAATAGAAATTGAAATTTATTGTCTCATTTTATTTATTTTAATCTTTCCTTGCAGGAAGCTTGAATGAAGCGTATGTTCTCCAACAGGAAGGGTACTTTTTGTTGAAAGGACCGGACAATCCTGGAAATGGTCCCATTATCTGGGAATGGAGGTCACACTCAGGGCAACAAACTACAAAACAGTTGGGAACTTTTCACAGAGAAGGTCAGCAGTGGGCTGTAAAATGGAGTGATGATTACGATAACATGCCAGATATTTCTCAGAGAATACATGAGCACTACGGTACTCTCAATCTGTTAATGAGAAATCCCACATTTGAACTTGGGGGACTGTTTACCTGGACTCAAACACAGCCCAATAAGAATACCCTGAAACAGACTGAGCTATTTGTTATCAAAGGTGAGTAACAAGAGGTTCGAATGAAATGATTTTCTGTCAGTGCATGGAAATTCATAAATCGTTGGAATCCAGTTCTGTTGAGTGATGGCACCTAAAGGAATCGGAAACTGAACCTTTCCATTGTTGCAAAGTCTAAGGTCTTCTTAAGACAATGTTTATTCATGTGCTATAAACTGTCTGCACTTAGACTTAGCATTGTTGTATCTCTTTTTGGGATCTTTCTAATATGACCTCTTACATCACCACTAAGGTCGCTCACTATTTTCAAGTGTATAGACTTTGCATCCACCTTCATAAAAGAAGAGTTTGTTAGAGTCCAAAGTCCATTTAAGGTTACAGGTTTGTAACATTCCATTAGTTATATAGGTTCAGACTCAATGTGACATCTAAGCTGTTGCATCTCTCTCCAGAGTCTGCTCATCAACGTGATTTTTTAATCACTGCTGATGTAATATACGATTCTCGGATTTAATCTTAACCCTTTTCTCTACAATCTCAGGTCAAAGTGACAGCAAAGTTGCAAACAGTCTCACATTAATCTCATTGTTACCAGGGAGAGAGATGGAGTTGAAAGTTAGAGAATGGAGTTTGGTACAGAGATCAAAAATGGCTTCATACTTCCCAATATTAAACCAACCAGCCGAGAATGACAACCTCATTAAAAAAGCAAAGGTAGTAAACATGGTCTGATCATTAGAATAAGCGGATGGGTTGAGGATAAATGATTGTCATTCTTGACATTAGCTTTTGTTCCTCTTCTCTACTCCATTTTCTTATACTTTCTGAGAAAATTGCCATAGAGAGAGAGATAGAGCTGCAGGTATCAGTGTGGTGTTCACAGTGAATGCTGAAGATGATGACTTTGGTTTTTCAATTCTGTAACTGGAACAAATTGCAATTTATCTAAGACAATGGTAACATCAACATTTTGACAACAGAGAAGCAAATGTGAGAGAAGGTGGAGAGATTGATCAGAGTGTCATGAATAGACATGTGGAAGCTGACCCAATGGGTAAAATCTTCCACTCCGAGAGGCACTGAGCTTTGAGGTGGAAGGGCACTGAATTAAGTGCGATGATGACTCACCGAAACGCTGCTACCTTCTCACGTTCATCAAAATCAAGTTCTGGCCAGGGAGACGGGTGGTTGAGCTTTCGGATCAGTTGCCACTGAGGCCCTCAAAATAACTCCACAGAGGCCGGTATCCTGTCACCAGTTCACCCTTTATTTGCACGTGAGGAGTACATAATGCTGATCCATCTCCCTCAGAGCCAGGTCTCAAAGTGAACAAGATGTCTGACACTCCTGTTCTTATCTGTCAGCGAGGACTCCCTGCTTGGACCATATTAATAACACCAATTAGGGAAGTCATATTCTTGAGATCCACCTGACTGACCTCATTACAATCACTACGGCCTTGAAGTGAATAATTCAGGATAATTTAAGAATCTCGTTCTACTATTGCTGTGTTTCTCTCAGATGCAGAGGGGCCTGTCACCAAGCAGTGTTCATGAAGATTGTCAAACATTGGGCAGGTAGTCACCTTGGGGCCGGGTTGGGTTCCAACAATCAGTCGCAGTCAGTACCAGTGAGCAAGAGAATGGACATCAGGTGGGAGCGTGCTTGCTCAAAGAATCCCTTCATAACCTTCCCTCTGACCATCCCAATCCAATATCACTGCTACCCCAATCCTAGAAAAGTACCGACTCTCACTGGGCAGGGCTTCCAACCCCAATGTCTTGATTCCAGGTGCCGACTGGAGAATGGCCTCACCAATGCCTGGTTAGCAGTTGGTTCAACAACCTTCCAGTGAAAAGCCATCTTGGGTTTCCAACAAGCTGCATAGAGAACAGGCAAAACCCTCAAAACCTCACCTAATTTCAAGCAACGTCTTCGATGAATGTTGCCAAGAAACTGCATGTAGAAAAGGAATAGGAGGGTGCCAAGGGAAAATAATCCGTGAACAATAGCTGGGAAACACGAATGGTCAGCACAAAACATGGCTGGTCAGTATCTAATTATATCTGTAGAAAAAGAAGAATTTGAATACAGTAATTCAGACAGCTTTCTGAGATGAATAAGCTTCATGTTTCTCTTCTTTTAGTTGAGATCGATTCACAAAGGCCTGTAATGGGCAGCGACATCACACTCAGTTGCACCATCTCCAGACTCTCGGATACTGTCCGTCTTCACTGGAAACACAGAGACCCTTCTCAGCAAAGCAGGATGATCAACACTGATGAGATCCGACTGAATAACACGGTCTATCTGATTGTTAGACATGCTGGAGCAGAAAATCAGAATTCATATACATGGGATGTACAGGAAGATAACTCTATTACTCTCACTGGAAACATAAACATTGATGTGAATCAGAGTAAGTCCAGAACTACCATGAATAGATGATCAATAGATACTGATATAAAAGCATTCCCCACAAAATAGAGTGAGCAGAGACACACTGAGATTCTCATGCAGAATATGATCTTTGTCTCTGTTCTGGAGTATTGATGTCCAAATCAAATAATGAGTTTACGAGATCATGCTGCCACCCAGGAGAATTTCCGAGATTCCTTTCAATTTATATCAATTTGTAAAAAAGATTAAAAATAATCAATCAAATAAAATTAAGGCCATTGCTGTTGATGCTGGAAATGAGAAATACAAACTGATTGAAGTTGCTAACGCTGAACAAGATTTGGGTCTTTTCTGAGACATTTTCTGTCTTTGGAGCTGGTGACTTACAAAAGTTCTCAGTGTGTCTTACACTCAGGAATGAGCACATACTGTATCTGAATTATTAATGAATGCATTGCCCAGGGATGTAAGGACAAGACCCCTTGTGATCTAAACTGATTATTTATGTCTCCTGTCACTCATTCCCCTGTCACCTTGCTGCTAATACTGAGCATCAATGGTGAAAGAGAGGAAGTACAGTCTTTGTGCATTTCTGGCCGTCACTGAGAGATCTGCTGCACTTGGTTCTCCTGAAGATCCAAGGATTCCCCTGAGAAGACCTGACAATCACTTGGCCTACAGTCGAAACCCGATCCAACAGGCACCACCCTGACCCAACTGAATACTTCTCTGATTTATCCTGGCTTTCCATGGCAGCCATCAATCTGCCATTGGTAACCGCCAGATCTATGCATGCTGGAGGCAGCATGGTACTGGTTATATTGATGGACTCCACCTGCACCGAAAGACCCCTCCAGATTTAACCAAGCATTAGAAACTGAGAAGGCCTGTTGTCCGCTGCACAATGAACTCTGGTGAAAGGGTGTGTTCCATTGTCTGGACACTTGGCTTAGTCAGGGTTTGCCAGGGAGGTGCCATCGTTATCCTTGACAGCCATACTTGTAAAGCATTCGTCCATTAGAATGAGGCAGGATTGTGAGAGTTATGAAGACTATAGACATGATAGATATAGGTTTTCTGGATACCTTTGCAGGTTTATTCGAAGTGGCAGCAATGATCCCTGATGAATTGGACTGTGACCAAGTGTAAACCTTTGCTGTGAATGAATTCAGCTGCAATATAAAATGGTGTTCTCAGTGCGGCCTGTGGAGCTTGCCATGTTGGTCAATGTTTAAAGGCTCAATTTTTTCAGCTGAAGTTGCTTCTGGTGGTAGTTCTACCTTTGGCGTTCTGAATGGAATTGGTCGAAGGTTTAGAAAGTGCTGCCTGGAGATCTTTGGTGAATTTCAGCAATGCATCTTGTGGAAAATATGTACTGTTGCTACAGTGTGTTAGTAGTAGAGGAAATGGATGCTTGTGCATGTGGAGCCAATCAGGAAGTGACTTTGACCTGGATGGTGTCAAGCTTCTTGAGTGTTGTGGAAGCTGCACCCATCCAGACAAATGGGGAGTATTCCATCATATCCCTTATCTGTGCCTTGCAAATGATGGACAGGCTTTGGGAAGTCAGGTGGTGAGTGAGTCGCTGCAGAATTCCCAGCCTTGGACTTGCTCATATTCCCACAGTGTTTAAATGCTGGGGCCAGTTGTATTTCTGAGATTCAGTGATGGTAACAACATTGAAAGTTAAGGGGCAGTGGTTAAATTGTCACTTATTAGAGAGGGTCATTGCCTGGCATTTTTGTTGTGAAAATGTTATTTGCCACATGTCAATCCAAAACTGGAAATTGTGCAGATCATTTGGACATGGAATGCTTCAGTATCTGAGGAGTTGTGAATGGTGCAGAACATCACGCAATCATCTGTGAACATCCCCAGTCAGATGCTGGACGAGGTACGTGGGTGGTAAGATTAGATTTTTGGTTTACATTTAGATCAAGAGATATGGGAAGAAAACAAGAATCTGGCATTGAGATAGAGGATCATCCATGATGCTGTTGAATGGCAGACCAATCTTGAAAACCGCGTGGCCTTCTCCTGCTCCACCTGTCAATGTTTCCATGTGAGCGGCTGAGGTGGATAGTTGAGTAAGTAGTGCTGTACTTTGACTCACAGTCAGTCTCTCAATATGTGTTTAAGAGACACAGAATGTGACTATCCCTCTCAGAGATATACCATCCTGACATACTTCTAACCTTCTATATACCTTCATGATATCATCACTGTGTCAGAGCATGCGACCTGATCGGGGGTAAGGATGTAGCTGGGTTGGGATAAGGAAGTATTTGGTATTCGGAGGGTGGGGGATCCAGTGTTGGTGATTGTGGGAGTCAATTTGAATTTCCCAGCCCCAAGACCAAGTGTTAAACTGTCTAATATTTCCTGCATCAGTATCAACACATATCACTTCGTATATATGTGTGATTAGGACCAGCTGATCAACTTGTCTTAAACATATTAAGTCCTCTTTGTTCTTCTACTGGCGAAAGGTCTGAAGCTAGTCCAACCTTGCCCTCATTGTGTGATGTAGCAAACTTTGGTGGACATGTCTATGTTTTTAATTCTGTTTGACCATAAGCTAACAGTCCAATGAGACACTAAGTATCCAGTGGAATGGGTATGAGATATTTCTTGATGTTTCATTGCTGAAACAGTTAAACCAATTCAGTTTCAAACAAGTAGCATCTTGGACCTGACTTTGTGAATGCTGTTTTTCTCTTGAAAGATGTTGCCAGACTTATTCCAGCAGTTTCTATTTTTATTTCAGATCTCCAGCAGCTGCAGAATTTTGATTTTATTTAACCAATTAAGTATTATCTCCAGACATTGTGGAATTGATATCACTTGGACAGGGTGACTATGTTGAGGGAAGATTGTACCACAACCCATTACTTAATTCAAATATAACCTGGGTGAATAGCCAGTGTATTCAGATCCTAGTCAATCTCCCTGGCCCAGCACTGTGCTCCCAGATTACACAAGACAAAAGGGTGGTGTTTGGCCTTATTGAATTTCACTGCCTTTGTTTATTAGTGATGATAAAGATCGACATCTTGCCTCCTGTCTCTCTCTGTTGCAGATTTACATGGTAAAACGTACACCCTTCATCGGTCAGTCACAGATCACAGTGAACTCAAACTGATTTGTGAAGTTGATTCTGTGGAAATTGAAACAAAATGGACCTGGTCTTCACATTTAACGAATGAAGATAAAGAAATAGCTTCCATTTACAAATCGAAGCTTGTCAACATAAACAGGGCCTACTTTGGGAGTCGATTGGTCTCTCCAGTGACCAATTTCACTGACCTGTTTTTCTCTGTACGGATTGTGCCTGTCCTGTTTGAAGATGCAGGAGTTTACAGGTGCTCTCAGGGATCAGATAATCATGTGACCATTAATCTGGTCGCAGTAAAAGGTAGGAGACAGAATGTTGATGCTGTTTTCAATGATCAAGCAAATGTTTAAAAACTAAATGATTTTCATGTTTACACAGTCACAGCGGAACCATCTGATGCAGTGACTGAGGGAAACACTGTTACCCTGACCTGCTCTGTCTCACATGTTTCTGAACCAATCAGATTTGTTTGGATGAATTGTGACGGTAAAATTGTTGCAGAGAAAACATTCAAGGAACAGAAGCAGGAAGAGGATAGTTTACAGCTGGTTATTCAGGAATTCGATAGAGACAGTTGGAACTGGACATGCATCTTGTTTCATCAAAACACCCCCAAAGTTTTAATACCTTATCATCTGAAGTATAAAGGTAAGTGTCTCAGATTTCATTCCAAAGAAAGTTTTGAAATGATATTATCTTACTTTTCATGTTCTTTTACATTCCTACTGAGAGTACATTACTTAGCACTGCAAAGGAAAATCACACTAAAAAATGGATTGAAGCCGAAAATGAGTATTTAGTGCCCTTTACATTTCTGTGAGATAATAATTAAATGTTAAATTGCCACTGCCCATTTTAATACATCTTTCTTACAGTAGTCTGGAACTCGGTAGACTTCTGTGCATTCCATTATGCTCTGTTTGATAATGATGAAAAAATGATGTAATTCTATCTCTACCCCTCATTTATATCTTGCACATAACTCTCCAACATCAATTCTAGAAGTGGAGGCATTTGGCCAGGGTTAGTTGGTTGGTAAATGATTTGTATGTAATGGTCACTTGAGAAATGATTCACTGTTGGTAGGACTTAGAGGATTAAAAATTTATTGAAAGTTGGCTTGAAATTGAATGATTAGATAACTGACTGGTGAATGATTGGTGGAAGAATGACTGGTTGAGGAATAATTGGGTAATTGAGAAGGGTGTGTGAGCTGTCCATTCTGCTTGAAGAAAAATAAAATACTGTGACAGCTGGAAGTGTGGAGAAGAGTGACACACGTCTGGAAATGTTTACTCTGTTTCTCTCTCCAGATGTTGCCAAATCTGCTGAGATTCTCAGTGCTGGTCCATTGTACTTGCTGAGCTGAGTATTACCTGGAAGGCAGGACTTCTGATAAAGGGCCCATAAAATTGCACAATCACCTTTTGCACTGAGGCCATAAGTCCTGTCCAACCAGCCCTCCAACTTACTCATGCCCCGGTCTTGTTTCTTCTTCTTCTTTGGTCCAGGATGCAGGCCCAACACTGGCCAGCACTCCAAATGATACTGTTGGAATCACTGAGCTGCCGGCCAGTCATAACACTGGATGTTGGGATGCCCACACCAAACTGGTACTGATGGCCAGTAGATATTTCAAAGCATTCCATGGCTATGGGACAGCTGTCAGTGTGAGGGCAGCTTCACAATAAGATTTTCAATGACAGGATGGGAAAGACCAAAAGATCCTGCCTCATATTTCAGTGTCTATGCAATCTCAGATTGCGGAGGAAGGGAGTGAGCAGATGGAACTTGCTTTCTGTTTATATTCCAACTATAATTTTTAACCTCTGCAAACTTTGCTTTGATGTCTCCTTATCTGCAGTAGGTTTTTACTTCGAATTGCAGCCAGCAATGGAGGTTGGAGTCTGAATGCACTAGATTCCCAACACTCAGTGACATGTTTTTTTTTTCACTCTATTGTGTATAGTTTAGCACTTATGTCATTAGAATGCTAATTTAGAGTCCCAGTATATTGCTGTGTGTTTTTATTTCAAAACCCACTGAAGCAATTGCAAAAGTTTAATTTCAGTCAAAAAGTCTGGAATGTAAAACTCATTTCCATAATGAAAACTGTGAAACTATCACTGATTGTATAAAATTCCCACCTGCTTCATTCATGTCCTGTATGTGACTCCAGACACACATTAAACTTTAACTGCCCTCTGTAATAGCCAAGGATAAAAACACTCATTTCAGGGGAGAAAGCAACATGTGCCGACATTGACAGTGATGTCCATGTCCCATGAGTGAGTAAAATATTTGTACCAAAATTTAGAGTGCTGGAAAACCTCAGCAAGTCTGGCGGCATCTGTGGAGAGAAAGCAGTGTAAATGTTTCAGGTCCAGTGACCCTTTTTCAGAGCTGAAATATTTGTGTCATTTTCTGCTGACCTGAATAGTAGTGAACATATGAGGCCAGTCTCCATTTAAAAGAGAAGACATCTGTGATTTCCATGATCTCTTGACTTCTGATCAGCATCATAATCATGTTTAGTCAAAAAATCCTTTAGCAGAACATTCCTCACATTAACACACTTATTTTAACAAGTAATATTGAACAAGAGGGTAACTTTTATACCTTTGCAATACCCAAATCTCCCCTTTTTATATGGGTCTTGACTGAAAGTCTTCTTCAGCTTGTTACAATGTGGTGGTAGTGCATGGAGTCAATTGTTCCTGCTTTATCCCTTCACCTTCCCAGGCTAATGTTCCTCTGCGCTTGTGCAATCCCTTTCTGAAAGATGAACCAATATTGTTATGTCTAGATCCTGCAAAGTCCCTAATCATTATGATTTCAAATAGGATACTCCCCAAATAGTTATGGTCCAAGGTGAGGAAGAGGAAGCTGATTCTCCTTTGTATTCAGTCTCTTTCTCAGTTAGTCAGAATAATGTCAATTTAAAAATGAACATATCCCTCTTAAATACCTTTTTCCAAGTGTATGTAACTTTTAAAAGGAGCCAAATTAGCCAGTCTTTCTTGAATTAAAAAAAACAGTGAGTTTATTTACCATCGAAAGTGAGAAAAGACAATAAAATATCATGCACGTGCACAGATTAGAAATGTGAATGAAGAAGTAACAGGATATATGAATTGGTCTCTGGTTTCCATGAATAATAGGTGGTGAAACATTGCAACCCTTGGACGCTGTTGGTAAGAGTGACGTTGATGCTAAAGCGGTTGATTTCACGTTTCTTGGATGTGCAGTTAACTGACAGGCTTTTGTCCAAATTACTTTTTGATGATAACTTAATTGGTTTGGCTGGCTTCCAGCATTCAGAGCAGAAATGAATCTTTCTTTACCTGAAGCACAAGCATATCTAATGTTCGTCCTCAAGCTGTGAGCTTCATAGCACATAATTCCACACTGGCACGTCAGCCCACTAGCACACACGGATCAGTTTGTTTTCATCCACTTTTCTCGTGTATTTCTGGAAGGGTAAAACATAAACACATTTGCAGTTTGGTATAGTATCCTCAGGGGATAGTTTTCTTCTGTGAACGGTTTATAAAAACCTATCTGGTTCACGAATATCCTGTAGGGAAGGAAATTGGCCATCCTCACCTGGTTTGGCCTCTGTGTGACTCCAGACCCATGTGAATGTCATTGACTCTTAACTTGCCCTCTGAGCAATTAGGGATGGGCACTGAATACTGGCCAACCCAGCAATGTCCGCATCCTATGAATGAGCAAAGTTCTGATGGCACCTTCAGGAGTGGCATTCCATGCTTCCCATTAGCTCATTCCAGATAATAACTGAAATTACATCAGCAGCTACCGTTGGCTGTAAAGTCCCTGATATCCAGACCGCGAGCATCCAGAATTCCCTACGTCTGGTGACTGATTCAAAAACGGAAATTCTGAATCCTTGCATTCTGGATAACATGGATTTTACTGGTACCAGCTATTGAAAGGGAATAATGGTTCAGATGCTTTAATAAAGCTATATTAAGACTTGCCTAATTGGTTGAAAGAAAGCATAATCGCCTGTCACAACCAGGAGACTGTTATTTATGAGTAGTCCTGGCCACATGTTTTTAAGATGCACCTTGATCTTGTGCCAACAACGATTTGAGCTCTCCCAGCCACTTTCTCATGCAACCAACAGATGCATAGCACTGGTGCACTCTGGATACAGGGGAGATCACAAATGTATCCTCTTTTAAAATAAATATTTGAAATTAAATTTCAGTCTGTTCATTGGTATCTGGGGTTATGATCTCTTTTTTCTGACAATATTTATGTTGAGGTACATCATGGTCATAAACACAAACAATGTCTTTCTGCTCTAACAGCATCGTGGAGCTAATACCAAGGCAACATTATCAGGGATTATTGGTTCCAGTCAGTGTTATGTTCAGGTAGATACTGTACAATTTCTTGATTTGTCCAAATTCATGTTTGTTCTTTCTCATTTGGTTTCTCCCATATCAGGCTGAATGTTGACCTTGTGATGATGTAACTGAGTGATAGTGAACTTTTACATCTTTATCTACTATTATTTCAATTCATTTTCCACTATTATCAAGTCAATATTTATCCCTTTGAGTTCAATTCTAATGCAAATTGTCATAATTCAAGGATAATACAGGCAATGAGAGTTATTCACCTATAATCTAGGGGAAGCACCACAGCTGGATCAGGTCCCTTGCTTATTGATCATCTGCAAACTTCATTCAAGAAGGAATCATTAGATTGCAATGATTTCATTCTTTTTCTGTCTCTAACTGAAGAGATTGTGGACAGTTCAGCTGTAATATTCCAACACTGCTGTGTGAAGGCAGTTCTCTTCTCGTCTGTATAGCTGAATGATAAATCAGGCAGAGGTCTTATCAACCTTGTCATTAGGAGAGCTTACTTTGTCTTCTTCTAGTTTAAACAGTAACCCATGAAATTTGTTCTTCTCCTTCTGGCAGAACGTTATACTTTTCAACATACCAAAGTCATTGTATTTGGGAGTCTGGCTCTTCTTCTCATCATTATCCTGATAGTAGTGCTAAGTCTGAGAAAGTGCATGGGAGCCCGTAAACAAGGTAAATTCATGCGAATAATTTCTGGTGTTGTACTCTTAAGGAAATGTGGAAATATTTACAAACCTTAGGATTGACCATTACATCTTGCTTCTAAAATATTATCCTGTGGGTTTAATTGTAGCAAGTCCCATTCCACCATCAACCCTGTACTCAATGTTGTCTCCAAGTCAACTAACACTTTGATTTTAAAATTCTCATCTGTGTTGTTAAATCATACTGTGGGTCCTGCCCTTACTGTCTCTTTAATCTCCTCTAATTGCACATTCCTCTGAGACATCTGTGTCAATCTAAATCTGGCCTCCTTACTTTTGCAATTATGGGATGACATCACGGAGGGAATTCCAGGACTTTGATCTCGCGATGCTGAAAGAACGGCAATATATTTCCAAGTCAGGATGGTGAGTGGCTTGGAGAGAAACTTCTGGCTTGCAGCGTTCCCATGTATCTGCTGCCTTATCCATCTAGACAGACGTTGAGGTGCCAATATTGGACTGCGTTGGACAAGGTCAAAAATCACACGACACCAGGTTATAGTCCAACAGGTTTATTGAAAACATTAGCCTCCAGAATGTTGTTCCTTCCTCATGGGGACCTACATCTGAAGAATGAGTAACATTCTGAAAGCTAGTGTTTTCAAGTAAACCTGTTGGACTATAACCTGGTGTTGTATGATTTTTGACCTTCTAGACAGAAGTGGTCATGGGTTTGGAAGGTGCTGTCTGAGGTTCTTTGGTGAATTTCTGCAGTACATCTTGTAGATGGCACACACTGCTGCTACTGAGCGTCAGTGGTAGAAAGAGGAAATGTTTGTGAATGTGGTGCCAATCAAGCGGACTGCTTTGTCCTGGATGGTTTCAAGCTTTTTGAGCGTTGTTGGAGCTGCACCCATCCAGACAACTGGTGAGTATTCCATCACACTGCTGACTTGTGCTTTGTGAGTCAAGAGGTGAGTCACTCATCATTGTATTATTATCCTCGGACATACTCTTGCAGCCACTGTCTTTATATGGTGAGACCAGTTGGGTTTCTGATCAATGATAACCCCCACGATATTAATAGTTAGGGATTCAGGTTCACTTGTCAGCCCAGGTCTGGATATTGTCCAAACTGTTGCATTTGAAATGGGCTGATTTCAAATGTGAGAAGCCATGAATGGTGCTGAACATTATGTGCTTATCAGCGAATATCCCCACTTCTGACCTTATGACGGATGGAAGGCCATTGATGAAGGAGTTGAAGATGGATGGTTTCAGGACACTACCCTGAGAAATTCCTATAGAGATGTCCTGGAGCTGAGATGACTGATTTCCAACAACCATAACCATTTTCCTAAATGCCAGGATTGACAACAACCAGAGAGTTTGCCCCCAATACCCGTTGATTCCAGTGTTGCTTGGGGTCCTTGATGCCACACTCCATTGAACGCAGCCTTGATGTCATGGGCTGTCACTCTCACCTCACCTCTGGAATTCAACTCTTTTGTCCATGTTTGAACCAAAGCTGTAATGAGGTCAGGAGCTGAGTGGCTCTGGCAGATCCCAAACTGTGCATCACTGAGCTGGTTATTGCTGAGCAGGTGCTGCTTGATAGCACTGATGATAACACCTTCCATCACTTTACTGATGATTGAGAGTAGGCTGATGGGATGGTAGTTAGTCAAGCTGGATTTGTCCTGCATTTTGTATACAGAACATACTTAGGCAATTTTCCGCATTATCGGGTAGACGCCAGTGCCGTAGCTGTACTGAAATAGCTTGGCTAGAAGAGCAGCAAGTTCTAGAACATAGAACATAGAACAGTATAGCACAGTACTGCACAGGCCCTTCGGTCCATGATGTTGTGCCGACCTATTATCCGACTAAGATCAAACTACCCTGCATACCCTACATTTTACTATCCTCCATGTGCCTATCCAAAGTCGCTTAAAAGTCTCTAAAGTATCTGACTCCACTACCACCGCCAGCAGCACATTCCATACACCCACCACTCTCTGTGTAAAGAACCTACCTCTGACATTTCCCCTATACTTTCCTCCAATCACCTTAAAATTATGCCCCCTCATAATAGTCATTTCCGCCCTGGGAAAAAGTCTCTGAATATCCACTCTATATCTGTGCCTCTGATCATCTTGTACACCTTTATCAAGTCACCTCTCATCCTTCTTCGCTCCAATGAAAAAAGCCCTAGCTCCCTCAACCTTTCCTCATAAGACCTGCCCTCCAGTCCAGGCAGCATCCTGGTAAATCTCCTCTGCGCCCTCTCTAAAGCTTCCACATCTTTCCTGTTATGAGGTGACCAGAACTGAACACAATATTCCAAGTGTGGTCTAACCAGAGTTTTATAGAGCTGCAGCATAACCTCATGGCTTTTAAACTCAATTCCCCTGCCAATGAAAGCCAATATACCATATGCTTACTTTACAACCCTATCAACTTGGATAGCAACTTTGAGGGATCTGTGGACGTGGACCCCAAGATCCCTCTGTTCCTCCAAACTGCCAAGAATCCTGCCATTAACCTTGTATTCTGCATTCAAATTCGACCTTCCAAAATGAATCACTTCACACTTTTCTGAGTTGAATTCCATCTGCCACTTCTTTGCCCAGCTCTGCATCCTGTCAATGTCCCGTTGCAACCTACAACATCCCTCCATGCTGTCCACAACTCCACAAACCTTTGTGTCATTGGCAAACTTACTAACCCACCCTTCCACTTCCTCATCCAAGTCATTTATAAAGATCACAAAGAGCAGGGGTCCCAGAACAGATCCCTGTGGAACACCACTGGTCACTGAGCTCCAGGCTGAATATTTTCCATCTACTACCACCCTCTGTCTTCTATTGGACAGCCATTTTTGTATCCACTTCTATTGGACAGTTTAGTATCCCTTTTCTGGAGCACACAGCTTCAGTACTATTGCCAGAATGTTATCAGGGCCCATCACCTTTATAGTATCCAGTGTCTCCAACCATTTCTTGATAGCCTATGGAGTCTCCAACCTGGTTAAGTCTGGGCTTTACCTCGCTGCCTACCAAGACCTTTAAATGGGCCTCATCCTACCATCAATGAAAAGGCGTAAGACAGAGAAAAGAAACACCAGCAGAATGAAGAAATAGTGGGTCAGGTGATCAGGGTGGCCTAAACCTCTGCCTTATGCAAGTGCTTTGAAACAAACACCAAGTCAATGGTTTTCAGATGAAAGACTGGACATAGAGGAAACCCAAAAGTCCCCTCAGGAATTGTAAGAACTGTTGTTGGAAAGGTATTGGATCTCTGATCTCAGGACCCAGTGTTCATTCATCTGCACACCCTACTGACAAAACACCTCCCTGACAAATCCTGACCTGTGGGAACTCATCCCTCTATCCCTTATCTCTCTCTTCTCTCCCTCAGGCAGCAGGCAGGTAGGTGCATTAGTGAGTAGCCCCCTCCCCCCACCCACACAGGTAGGGTTGCCAAGCTATCCATGGTTACCAACAACAGATTGCCTGACAGCATTCGTTCAGGAATGGGATTTCTGTCCCTGAGGTCCTTAATTCCAGGCAAAGTGAACAACTGTCCAGTTACGTGCCTGATTGGCCTGATTGTTTGGGCTTTCCCAAAAGTATGAGAGGTGGGGCTATCCACAACTATCCAACTATTGGTTGAGACCCTTATTGTCTACATTAAATGTTGGCTAGTACCTCCTTCTGTGGCTCAAGAGTCACACTTAGATTTATAATATTCGTTCAAAGCATGTATATTGATATAGGTTATTATCCTTTCTGTTGTAGGATTATATAAACAGATCTATTATTCATTCATGGGATGAGGGCATCTCTGACATCCCAATGCAATTGAAGTGATGGTAGTGAGCTGTCATCTTCAACTTTCTGTCCATGTGGTGTAGGTACCACATAGCTTAGATTCAAGAACTGACCTGTTAAATTAGAGGATAGAAAATGTTACCTGGCTTATCAAGAAAAGAGGAAGTGAGAAAACGGTGAACTATGAGGCAGTCAGGTTAACATTAGTCATTGGGAAAATGCTGGAATCTAAGTATTTACACAGTCTTAATAACACCCTTTGAAAAGCATGCAGGTCCAGCAAGCAATGAGGAAGGCAAGGATATGATCAACTTTATTCCAAGGGAATTGGAGGACAGAAATAAAGAAGTCTTGCTAAACTTTTATAAGTTTTGGTGAGAGCACACCTGGAATATTGCATGCAGTTTTCAATCCCCACATTTATGAAAGGACATTCTGAAGAAGAGTTAATGCATCTGCAGCTCTTGTTTATCTCATTGGTAGAGATTCCAAGTTTGATAAGTTGCTGTCAAGGAACTCTTTGCAATCGGCTGCAGTGTGTCTTGGAGACATTACAGACCATTACCATTACGCTGTTCTTAACTAGTTTCTTTATATATTACAATGAACATTCATGAAGAAAGCTCAATGTATCTTAAGATGTGAACTCTTTTATGAACAGGCTTGGAAAGTCAAAGATCAAAGCCCTTGCAACAAGAGGAAAATGTAGAAGATATATCTCAGCTTTATTCAAATATTAATGAAGTCCAGCAAATGCAAGGTAACATTGAAACACTAATGATAGGAATTCTAGCATTGTGCTTGATTCAATGTGGCAATGTTGCTTTTGTTTTGTACTTTCTAGCTGGAATTAAAATAAATTCAAACACAGACATGTTATGTATTTACTAGGTCACATCCAAAAATCCTGTGGAACACACAGGTTTTTTTTATTTAACTGTACAAATAATTCTCATATTTAATGTTAGGTCTTTCTAATCCTCATAATTAGGTACTCTCCAATGCCTAGTTTATAGGATCCAATGGAATTTAACCCTCTTCAGGATTTTAGTCAGCATCTCATCCTAAACAACGTCAATGAGTAAGATAACAGCTGCTGGGAACAGTCACCGTATCTATTCTTTGGGAGTAATTGGCTTATGTTTTTAGGCTAAATGTATGGGGGGTGGAAGGGGGGAGGTGCTTCTATTTAGGATGGGTTTCTTTTTTCAGGTGACCACAATCTTCTCAGTTTATGACATATGCATGGTGGATTAAGCACCAATTTCCTGGTTCTGCACCCCCTCCGTGACCTTTTAGGCTCCAACATCCATATCTAAAAAGCATCCAGACAGCACTTCACTCTCAATTTCTGCTCATCACTCCCACCCACTCCGGAATTGTCAAAAAGCAGGTAAAAAGTGGTGGGAGATGGAAGTTCTTTTCCCTGTGGATGGCAGCAAGAGGCCATCCTGACTGATAAAGGCAGAGGTGGCTGTGGAGGTCAGCACCAATTGAGCTCCTGTGCTGCAGGACGATGAATAATCTGTTGACCTCTGGCAGGGCATCTCATTTTGCCCACTCATTGATTCCTTCTCCTATGGGATAGCTTTGGAAAGTTATCACTGCAGAGAACTGTGACACAGGAAGTTGAGTGCCGGGCCTCTCTATCAGATACCTTGGGTGTAATCCATGCCTGTAAATTCATTTCAGCTCCCACAATTGTACGGCCTTTAACATGTCTGGTTATATTCAGACTGAAACGTAAAGGGAGCTACAATGCTCAGCAGTTCACACAACATCAACTGAGTGAAATAAACACGGAAAATGCTGGAGAAATTCTGGCAGCATCTGGAGAAAAAGAAACGCAGTTCGCATTTTGGTTTGGTAAAACTCTTCTTCCACTCACGAACCTTTCTTCAAAAATAGGACAACGTTGACATTTAATAGCTTTTCACCAAAGACTTGCATGGGACGAGGACAACCACATATCTGTCATGAGCAATTTCAACCCAGGTCTGGGTGGGAAGGTATAGCTGCTTAGGACTGCAGGAACAGGAATACATCATTTGACCAATTGAGCTTGCCCTGCTATTCAATTAAATTATGGTGGATCTACTACTACTTCCCTGCATTGTCTCCATGTCCTTTAGAGTCATTTGTCTCCAGAAACCTAGTGATTATGAACTATGTTACATTCAAACTTCATGTAAAATTCAATGACATTATCATCTCTATTTCCAAGAGACTTCTTTAAAATAAGGTTATTTTATATCCCCTTCTCATTACAGAATATAGAATTTCCTTTATTGTCACACGTACTCCAGTACAGAATACAGAGTACAGTGAAAAGTTTTTACAATAGCTGCCTTTAATGGAGCCATGTTTGGTACAAGTACCCAGGTTCAAATCTTACAGGGTAAAAAAACAATAGTGTTGTTACAGAGTAAAATAGAATATAGATTAGCATGAAATAGTGGAAAAGTCCAGAATAATAACAAGTGACCATAAGTACTTAAATTCCAGTCCATGCCTGCAGACCCCAGAGCACAAGGCCACACTGCCTCCACATGCGGGTCTCCATCAAGGACTTGCTCCGCTACAGCTTCCAGAATCGCCCGTTCGCTCCGCCACAGGACTCGGATCATTATATAATGCAATGTTATGCAATACTGAATCCAAAATAACTTGCTTGCTAGTTGGCTCCTCAATGTACAGAAACCCATCTCATGTACACTTCAGGAATGCATCCTCCACGGCACTAGTGCTGACTTGGTTAACCCAGTGTGTATGCAAATTGAAGTTGTGAATTATTATTGTATTCCTCTCATTATATGCATCTGTAATTTCCTGATTTATAGTATGCCTGATATTAGCATTGGAGTTTGCTGGTCTGTAAACAACTCTTACCAATGTTTACTTCCCTTTGCTTCCCTTTGCTGTCTCTTAGCTCCAGCCAAAATGATTCTACATCCAGATCCTTTGATCAAACATCTTCTTTCACTCATGTAGTGATATCATCCCTTGTTAGGAATGCTACTCCATCTCCTTTTTCCCTAATTGCCTTTTCTTCGATTTTCAGTTCCCAATCTCACATGTGGACCCACATGTGTCAACGTTTTGCGAATATTACACATATTCAGACAAAATGCCTAATTGAACCTTTTAACATAATTCTCAATTTATTGCTTGCAAATGCTCTATCTTCTATTTTTGCCTATAATCTCCTACTTCCTTTTACTAGTTCAGATTCCATTGAAATTGAGCTCCCTTTTAGGATCCCACATCCTGCCAATCTAGTTTAAACCCTCCCTGACAGGATTAGCAAATCTATCCATGCTCAGATGCAGATTGAAATGAAAACAGAAAGTGCTTGTGAAACTCAGCAGATCAGGTAGCATCTTTGGAGAGAGAAATGAAGTTAATGTTTTGAGTCCAGTGACCCTTCAAACTATGTCTACCTAATTGGCTAATCCGCTACTCTTAGTATCACCTGGAACCTTCAACAATCAAGTTCAAATAATAAAACATTTCACAATGATAGTCTACTTAGATTAAATCTCATTCATACTTAGATCTAGATATCAATTGATGGCCTGTTTAATAATGCAAAGTACTGTGGATACTAGAAATCTTAAATAGAAAGAGAAAATGCTGAGGAAGTTCAAAAGGCCTGGCAGCATCTATTAAGAGAGAAGCAGTTTCAAATTCACTGAGTCTTCATTGGAACTTTTTCAGTTCGGTTAATGGCTGTGTTTTGTTGCCCTATCATTGCCCGGTAACTTCATTTCCTGAGGTATCAACTGTCAACCACTAAAGGCCCACACAACACTTGTCACACACGCTCTCGCATTCTCAAAACCACTCAAGACAATGAACATGAATGATTCAGAACAGCATAAGGGTCTTGTTGAGGCTTTTTGTTCTTCCCCAAGATCTAATTCCATTTTCTGGATGGTACAAATTGTATAAGTATTGCATCAATATTGTAGAAGTACCCGAATATAACCACTTTTAAAAAATCAAGTTAAACTCAAGATTTATTCAGACAAACCTTTTTTTTTAGCAGGTACAGAGTTACCAGAGATTGGAACTAATAGCTCTGAATATGCAACTATCAGTGGAATGGCAAAAGCAGACAGTAAGTAATTGAATCATATTATGTGGCTCTATTTGTGTCAGTATTTTTAAAAAGAAAGTGTCAGATTTTATTGTATTAAAAAGAAAATGTTAGATTTTATTGTATTAAGCTTTGCTTCTGGTAGCACTTTGGGCAGGAAGTTCTTCAGACCTGCAATGATAAAGACTAAGACATTTTCACACAACTTAGCAATATGTGGTTTGTGAAGCTATTGCAATATAAACATCTTCAAACCCATCACACAAACTTAGATCTATTAATATTCGTCATTGTATGTATCATATGTTTGCAATAGGAAGGTCTGTTTAAAATTCTATAGTATATAAGTCATATGAAGATACCTTTCAGACCAATCAGTACATGCCAGTATAATTAGTTAAAGCAGCAAGTGGTGTCATGGTACTGTCACTAGCTAATCCTGTACATCCGAGGTTAATGCTCTGAAGATATGCCTTCAAATCCCACCATAGCAAATTGTGATGTTTGAATTTGTTTTAAAAAGCTAGCATAATAGAAACAAAGGCATCACTGTTAATTGCTGTAAAACCCATCTGCTTCACTTTTGTCCTTCAGGGAAAGAAATCTAACATCCTTACCTGTGACTCCCAGCAACGTGGTTGACTCTTAACTGCTCTCTGGGAAATTACAGATGGGCAATAAATGTTGACCAAGCTAGTGGTGCCTACATCCCATGAATGTATTTTTAAAAATGACCTGTAGATTTTAATTACTTGCTCAACAGCTCCACGGAGGAGTGAGATTCTCTCCAGGGCAAACTCTCTCAATTCCATCTTCACCTTTCTCAACACTTCCACGGAGGGAAAAGTTCCCTGAAGAAATAATTGGCAAATGACTTTCAGTGTCAATTATGTGTGGTGTTATATTTTACTTATAAAAGGTTACATATTATTTGGGACAGGTTAGGATAAGGGCATAAATCCACCTGGGTGAAGACCAGAAATACAGGTGGATGATATTATGATCTAAATGACACTTGTCAGAGATCTAACAAACATATACCCAAACCCACCTCTTCTTGCCTTTTAAAACTGTATTAATGCCACTTCATATGCTTGAATTGTACACAGTTCCTCAAGTGTGATCCAATCAAGAATTGATCTGTGTTCAGCATGACCTTGTATGATAAGACTGAAAGAGCCTATGGTTCTTTATGGTCTGATCAAAATGAATACAAGAAGAAACGTGCTCTTTGATAAAAATCAAATTTATTAGTCTAATATAATTTAGATATATGCAAAGTAATGGGTCAATCTATTAGCTTGAACTTCTTCAGACATATTCGACAAGTGAGTCTCACTGCCCTCTGCCCGAACGGGACTCCTGGGTCACATCTCATACTTGGAGCTCCATCACAGTTTCCACGGCAATGTATTGCGAATCCCAGTCCAATGGAAAAGGTCCTGCTCTCATAAACCCAAGTCTGACTGGGAGAGTCCAGCGGGTGAGACAAAATCCCTGATATTAATACAATTCTAGTTATGTACTGTATCACCATTTCATACTACTTTCAGTATTTCTCCAGACATTCCATTGTGCAGAAAATAAGTTGAAAACATTTCCAGGTGCCTCCGTGTAGTATGCACAAGTGGACGATTCCCTCCGATCCTCAAGGTCAGGTCCTTACCCCCAGTCAATGCAGGATATTTTTACATGAAGCCTGTATTTCATGTACTTTTCCACTTTACTGCAATTGCTTATTATCATGTCCAATTAATGCTTAATAACTAACTCTTTATCGTCTGTTTGACAATATCATTTTAAGCCCAACACTCCAAACCACTGTACTTTTTAATTCTCCCCAATTATAAAAATGATGTGTTGGTTTTTTAAGATCTTATTAACCATATTACTACTGAATTGGGCTTCACAGGGCTAAATGTTACAGTCCTTGCCCAGCATATTTGGAAGAAAGTGGGTGTCGCTCATAAAATAGTACAGTGGGAGTGGGGCCTGCTTAGTGGTTTGGTGCCCACCTTTGATATTTGACAAAATTAACAGCCTTTCATTTAATACCATCTTCAGCCCTTTAAGGTGTACAACATGAATCTATGGTGAGTTTGTGCATAAAGGTAATGTATATTACAAAATTACAAATTAGTTTCTCAAATTGCTTATCTCCCATTCTATAACTTAATACAATTTCTTAAAGTACCTTCACCAACTCACCCCTCATACTATGTTGTTTGCTTTGGAATTTAGACTCTAAATGCAGTTGAAACTAATTCATTAGTGCATTCAATATAAACTCTTACAATACTGTGGTGACTTTAAACTAAATTACTAACATGGTTTCGGGTATGTTCAGCAAATAGAGGTGAAAATTCATAATTTCTGTCTTATTCTGTGCAGACATAGAAAGAGAAGATATTCATTATGGATCTATCAATTTTCAGAAAACTGCACCAGGTAGTAAAACTTACTTTTTTCATTCCTAACTTCTTTAAGGTGAGGGACATTAACTTTGGAGAGTAAACTTTATTTAACTGTAACAACTCATCACCACTGACTATTAGCATCAAGCAATCCCAGAGTGAATCTGCTCGTGTTCTCACACTTCAAAATACTGAATGTATGTCAGAGTGTCACTCAGTGGGAAGTACCTACTCTCTGGGGTTTCAAGTACCACAATAGAGATGTGAGCACATCAATGCAGTATTGAGGCAATGCCATGTTGGTCTCTTTCGGTGGAGACACAATCTGAAGGCCCTGTATGCTGTTATAGCATTCATTTGATGAGCATGGAGGAGTCCTTGCTGCTGTCTTGGGTAACGCTTATCGTTCAAGCAACATCAAAAATAGATAATAATGGTGATTATCACATTGTAATGTACTAGGGTTGTAAAATCTACAATGTAAATGTGATTTCTTCCTTTTGGTCATCAACGTTTGGTCCATTTGCTGTGTACAGGCATCAAGTGGTCTCTGAGTGCAGTTCCCCATTAATATTGAATGGGAGGCAGAATTGTGGTATAGGGATGATCCTTACAGGAACTGCATGGAGACTGCAGAACTGGAAACAAAACATAATAAAGCAGCTCAATAATTAGACACAGATGACTATGGTACTGGGCTGTCAACCTGAAGGTTATGAGCTCCACCTCCAGCAAGATGCCACCACCAGACGCATATTCCCCTCCCCTCCCTTGTCCATCATCCACATGGACCATTCCCTCCGGGAGACCCTGGTCCACACTTCCTTCACCTCCAGCATCCCCCCACAGCCCTACGGTACCTTCCCCTATAACCGGTGAAGGAGTAACACCTACCCATTTACCTCCTCCCTCCCCAGTATCCAAGGGCTCAAACATACCTTCCAGGTGAAGCAACACTTCACCTGCACTTCCCAGAGTCTAGTCAACTGCATTTGCTGATCATAATTTGGTCTCCTCTAAACTGGGGAAACAAAGCATAGACTGGGTGACCGCTTTGCAGAACATCTACGTTCTGCTCACAAAAAAGACCCTGAGCTACCTGTTGCCTGTCACTTTAATGCACCACCCTGTTCCCTGGCCAACATCTCTGTCTCTGGTTTGTTGCAGTGTTCTAGTGAAGCTCAACGCCAGCTGGTAGAACAACATCTCATTTTCCGCCTGGGGACCCTACAGCCCTCCAGACTCAATATCGAGTTCAATAATTTTAGGGCCTAAACTCTCCCATGTCCCATCCCCCTACCCCACACACCAGGCCTTGTTACCACTTAGCCTGCCATTACACACTGCCTGTTGTCAGTCACTAATAGTCTCCATTAACAACAATTCACCCTCCCAGCCTGATCATTATCAACTCTTTGTTTAACTGCTCTTCTCTCTCTTTAGGCTCTATCCGATCGTTTACTCCCTACCCCATCCCCCTCCCTTTTTCTGCATATAAACTGATGTTTTTCCAGCCACCATCAGTTCTGAGGAAGGGTCACCGGACCCAAAACATTAACTCTGTTTTTTCCTTCACAGATGCTGCCAGACCTGCTGAGCTTTTCCAGCAACTTTGTTTTTGTTCCTGATTTACAGCATCTGCAGTTCTTTCGGTTTTTGGTTATGAGCTCCAATTTTATCATGTTAGATATTTTCTTATCAACCTGTTCAGGGATGTTGTTACACAGCCTGGAACTTGAAACTGAGTCTGCCAGCTCAGAGGTAACCACTGCTCTATAGTACCTTTAATCCTATTGTGCTATATAGAGAAGTTGAAAGATACAATGTTTACATGAATGCCAGAGAACATGCGGCTCTTGGGTCTTTTATTAACCTTTGGGGAATGATGTTACTTTGTGGCTCCAATCATATGTTAACCTAAATCGTGGTTACCCTTTGACACTCTCTGAAGCATATTATTGCTCCAACATATAATAATTCTGTCAGTACATGCGGAGATGACAACTAAATATGAGTCCAATGAGGGTCAACCATTTCCTGAGAACAACCACATAAGACATCCTAGATTTGAGTTTGAACAATATGACATCATTCGAAACAATAAAGCATGGTAAATATAAGCATCATTGCAAATTTAATCAATATTATTGGTTATATCTTTTCAATTGGAAATATTTCTACCAAGGAATTTCTGTAATTTTAGGGAAATTAAGGAGCAAATATTTAGAGATATCTCAGATACATTTAAGAACAATAGGGTTGTAATAGTAGGGGATTTTAACTTCCCAAACATAGACTGGGACTGCCGTATTGTTAAGGGCTTGGATGGTGAGGAATTTGTTAAAAGTGTTCAAGAAAATTTTCTGTACCAATATGTGGATGTAGATACTCGACAAGGAGCAAAGCCCGACCTTCTCTCAGGAAATAAGGCACGGCAAGTGAATGAAGTATTAGTGAGGGAGTACTTTGGGACGAGAGCATAATTCTATTTGTTTTAAAATAGTATGGTAAGAGAAAGACGTATAAAAGTTGAAGTTCTTAATTGGAGTAAGGCAAATTTTGACAGTATGGACAGAAACTTTGGGGTAGGCGGTTTGCAGGTAAAGGGATTACTGACAAGTGGGAAGCTTTCAAAAGTGAGACAACAAGAGTTCAGAGACATTATATTCTTTTTAAAGTGAAGGGTAAGGTGGGTAAGGTTAGAGAGCAGTGGCTGAAGGCTCTGGTTGGAGCCTCACTATCCTTAATAAGAACATAAGAACATAAGAACTAGGAGCAGGAGTAGGCCATCTGGCCCCTCGAGCCTGCCCCGCCATTTAATAAGATCATGGCTGATCTTTTTGAGACTCAGCTCCATTTACCCACCCACTCACCATAACCCTTAATTCCTTTACTGTTCAAAAATTTATCTAGCCTTGCCTTAAAAACATTCAGCGAGGTAGCTTCAACCGCTTCACTGGGCAGGGAATGCCACAGATTCACAACCCTTTGGGTGAAGAAGTTCCTCCTGACCTCAGTCCTACATCTGCTTCCCTTTATTTTGAGGCGATGCCCCCTAGTCCTAGTTTCACCTGCTAGCGGAAACAACCTCCCTGCCTCCACCTTATCTATTCCCTTCGTAATCTTATATGTTTCTATAAGATCTCCCCTCATTCTTCTCAATTCCAACGAGTATAAACCCAGTCTACTCAGTCCCTCCTCATAATCAAACCCTCTCAACTCTGAAATCAACCGAGTGAATCTCCTCTGCACCCCCTCCAGTGCTAGTATATCCCTTCTCAAGTAAGGAGACCAAAACTGCGCACAGTACTCCAGGTGTGGCCTCATCAGGACCCTATACAGCTGCAGCATAGCCTCCCTGTTTTTAAACTCCATCCCTCCAGAAATGGCAGACAAAATTCCATTTGCCTTTTTAATTACCTGCTGCAGCTGCAATCCTACTTTTAGCGATTCATGCACAAGGACACCCAAGTCCCTTTGCACAGCAGCGTGCTGCAATTTTTTACCATTTAAAACATAGACCATTTTGCTGTTATTCCTACCAAATGGATGAAAATTCTTAATCAGTCCTTGCTTCTCCAAAGACTTTTAAATCCTATCTCTCAGAATCCCCTCCAACAATGTACCCAGCACTGATGTCAGACCTGCAGGTTTATAATTTCCAGGCTTCTCCTTACGGCCTTTCTTAAATAAAAGCGCACATTAGCCACCCTCCAGTCCTCCGGCAACTCACCCTTGGTTGTAGATGACCAAAATATCTCTGGGTAAGGGTAGGGACAAAGGATGAATAAAGGTATTGAGGCTCTTGTTGGAGAAGAATAAGAAAGAGACATATGGTAGATATAGACAACTGGGATCAAGTGAGTCTCGTGAAATGTATAAGGGGTGTAGGGGCATTCTTTGGAGGGAAATCAAGAGGGCAAAAAGGAGACATGCGATAGCCTTGAGAGATCAGGTTAAGGCTAATCCAAAGAAATGTGCGGCATGGTGGCTCAGTGGTTAGCACTGCTGCCTCACAGCGCCAGCAACCCGGGTTCGAATCCACCCTTGGGTGACTGTCTGTGTGGAGTTTTCACATTCTCCGTGTGTCTGCGTGGGTTTCCTCCCACAGTCCAAAGATGTGCAGGATAGGTGGATTGGCTATGCTAAAATTGCCCATAGTGTTCAGGGATGTGTGGATTGAGTGGGTTGTGGGGGTATGGATGTGGGTAGGATGCTGTGAGGGTCAGTGTGGACTTGTTGGGCTGAAGGGCCTGTTTCCACACTGTAGGATTCTATGATTCTATGAGATCCTGCAAGTTCATTAAGAGCAGAAGAACGACTAGGGAGAGAATAGGGCTCCTTAAAGATCAAGAAGGTTATTCATGTGTGCAACCACAGGATATGAGAAAGATGCTAAAGAAATAGAAAGGAATGGAAACTAGGGGATTCGGGGAAATAAATATTGATGTCTCAAATAGTCCACATTACAGAAGAGGAGTTCTTGGACGTCTTAAAAAACATAAAGGTGGATAAATCTCCAAGATCTGATCAAGTGTACCCCAGGACATTGTAGGAAGTTAGGGAAGAAACAGTGGGGCTCCATCAGAGATATTTGTGTCATCTACAGCCATGGGTGAGGTGCCGGAGGAATGGAGGATGGATAATGTTGTGTCTTTATTTAAGAAACATTGTAAGGAGAAGCCTGGGAACTATCGACCTGTGAGTCTGACATCAGTGATGGTTAAGTTGTTGGAGGGGATTCTGAGAGATAGAATTTACATGCCTTTGAAGAAGCAAGGACTGTTTAGGGATAGTAAGCCTCGCTTTGTGTGTGGAAAATCAGGTCTCACAAATTTGATTTTTGAGGATGTAACCAAAAGGATTGAGGGCACTGCAACAGATGTTTTCTACATGGACTATAATAAAGCCTTTAATAAGGTTCCACATGGTAGACTGATAAGTAAAGTTACATCACATGGGATTCAGGGAAACCTTGTCAATTAGATACACAACTGACTTGACGGTGGGAGACAAGGTGGTGGAGGGTTGTTT